CCCCCCCCCCCCCCCCCGCCCATTCAGGAAGAGCACGGTGTTTCTGTCCAGCCTGGACTGGCCCCCAGGTCCAAAGGAGGTCGCCGTGAGCTGCAGCTGGGATTCAGTGCCCGCCCCTACCACCTCCTGCAGGCTCCCAAACCAGACCTGGTGATTGGTGAGATGAAAATGAGGCAGGGGGAGGCTGGAGGGGTGGGGAGGAGTTCCAGATCGGCATCTAATGCAGGCATTGTCGTGCCATTGCTCCTACTCAGGGTTCAACTCTGGTTTTGCCCTCAAAGAGACTTGGCTCAGTGTTCTGCCACGACTGCAGGTGAGGTCCTGCCCACCCAGCCCCTGCACGCAGGGCGAGAAAGCTGTCCTCAGCAGCACTCTGTGAGAGGGAGGCTGCACCCACTCCAAGCAGTGGCTTTCCAGCACCAAGAGACCCCTTGACAGGGCTGACTGGCTTTGCCACAGCCTGCCCCCCCCCCCAGGTGATGAGGATGTTTCTCTTCCCCACAGTCCCTCCGAGTCCCGGCCTACTTCACCGAATGCAGCGCATACAGCTGCGCCGTGGATGAGGCCACTGTCTCCATGGCCACAGGGGGCAGTGCCAGTCCTGCCCAGATCAATCCCTTCCGTTCACCCTTCCGACAAGCTGGCATTGACAACGCCATGCCCTGGTGGGTACTAAGCAGGCCTCAACCCCATACCCCTCCAACTGGCAACTGTGTAATACCTCCCCCCCTCCAAACACACAAAGAGAAACCAGTTGGGGCCCTTGAGGCTTCCTCTCAGGACAGAGGTGCCCAAGTTGGGGCATTTGTGGGCAGTGTCCTCCTGGCCCCACATTGGCCCTGCCTCCTGCACTGTCCATTGGATGGGGAAAGGCGGGGCCTCCACCCGTGGGTGCCTCCTCGATCCCCACCCTCGTCTGCCCTGTCTTCCCCGGCAGGTACTCCAACGCCTTCATTTTCCACCTGATATACAAGGCACCAGCCAACAACCACCGGCAGAGCACGGTGCCCCCTCCGCAGTCGCTCCTGGCCAGCGGGAACCCAGACCCGCCTGAGCCAGCCCGTAGCCGGCGCAAGGACAAGAGGCAGATCCGTGCAGCAGGGCGCCGACGCAAGTGATGGGGAGGGTGCGGAGGAAATAAAGCGCCCTGGACACACTGTGACTCTGTGCTGGTTCACACAGCGGCATGCTGGCTGGCAGCCCCGCAGATGCCAGTGCCCTTTGTCTGGACCTCCCACACTGGTTCCTCCCTGGTCCCAGCCTGCTCTCTGCCCGAAAGGAGCAGAACCCCGTGTGAAGCGACTCCTCTCCCTGAGGGTGCAGAGCGCTGCCAGCAACTCAGACTTGGCCTGTGCGGCCCTGGGCACCTCAGGGCATGCTTTCCTCCTGATTCAGGCCCTTCGTGCCTAGGTCAGGAGCGCTGGAAGAGCGAGCCAGGCAGGCGAGCGGGCAGGCAGGCAGGCACCTAGATCTGAAGCAACGGGCGCTTGGGGCGTCCATGGAGCCAGGGCCCCGAGGGGACGGCCGCCTCCTGCCCAGGCCAGCGCGAGCTGCAGCTCCCATGGCTGAACGGCTGCCTCCCTTGGCCGATGCTGTGGCAAGGTGGGGCCCATCTCTTCCAGGCCCCCCCACCTCCTAGGGATCAAGGCCAGAGGCAGACCGCTTCCTCCCTGCTCCTGCTGCCCTGGAGAGTGGTGGGGCAGGGTCGGAGCCCTTGGGTTGGAGCCCAGAATAGCTCCCCTGCGTGGGGACCGTGCTGAGCCCCTCTCCTTCGGGCACCTCCCTGCAGGAAGGGGGGGCCTCTTCCTCCCCCCCAGCGCTTGGTCCCTTGCCAGGGGTCATCCCCAGCCTGCCTGGGAGGCCCAGGGGAGCAAAACGGGGGCCTGCACGGGTCCTCTCCCACAGCACAGATCCCTGGGGAGCAGAGCCATGGGGTTCCTGCTTGAAGGAAGACACGCACGGAATATGGGGCCCCAGGCAGGTCCTTCAGGGCCAGAGACTTGGCCCAACTGCCTCCCCTTGGCCAATGTCTCTCCTGGGGGGGAACAGGCCCTTCCCTCCCTCTGTTGGCTGCAGGCAGTGCGGGTTGACCCTCTGCCAGGGTTCACCTCTGGTGGACAGAAAGGAACATGCCCTCAAGTGAGAAGTGGGGCCATCTGCTGACAGAGACCCCAAAGCAGGTGAAAGTCTCCCTCTGGCTCAAGAGGGGAGACCCTGGACACTTCTCGCCTCCCCTCCTTGGGCCCACCACAGCCACTGCCTTGAAGGAGATCCTGGCTATTGTGCCCAACTAATGCCCAAACGTGCACGTGCGTGTGCACGCACACACACACACACCCTGGTTCTCTCCAGAGGGCTGCTCAGAAATGGGGTGGGGGAGGAATTGTCAGTAAGGGTGGGGGACCTTTGACCAGGTTGCCTTGGGAAGCTGAGAGGGTTTCCAGCAGCAACCGAACAGAGCGGTGGGGGCTGTGGGGGGCAGACTGGCCTAGAAGATGCTGACCAGGAGATGCTCCTCCTCAAGAGGATCAAGTACCTGTGGAGCAGCCTGGTGGCCCTGGGCTCGCTCCCTGGCCAAAGGAAGGGCCAGACCCAGACCCAGACCCCCTCCTCCTCTCCCCAAGCCGCTGAGCAGCAGCTCCCGGTTCTTGAAAGCTGCAGCGCCTGGGTCACCTTGCTGCTTCTTGCCCCTGGACTTGGGCTGGCATGGATCTCGGACTGTGCCCTCTGCCCTGGGCAGAGGAGATGCCAACTGATCTCAGGGCGGCAGAGCAATCCTGCATCTGGAGGGAGGCGCTGGGGGGGGCTGCTTGTCTCCAGCCCAGGTAGGAGTGTCTGTGTGGCCCTCAGGCTCCTCCCTGGTCCTTTGGGGCCACCTGGCATGGAAGGGGAAGAAGAGGCTGGGACTCCAGGGGGCGGAGTGCCATATCCAAGGGAGCCCTTTGCCCAGCTTATCTGAGCAAACCCTCTCTCTCTCTGCGCTCTTGGCTTGCACACCCTCCACAATGTGCACGGGGAAGTGCTCCCGCCTGGTAGGCCTCACCTTGGTGGCCTCTGCCCTGGCCTGCTTGGTAGCCAACATCCTGCTGTTCTTCCCCAATGCTGAGAGACAGTGGACGCCGGACCACATCACGCTGCAGGCCTGGCTCATGGGTGGCCTTGCCGGCGGGGGGCTGATGGTGAGTGGCCCAGATAGGGGAGGGCGTCTGTTTCAGGGGTCTTCCGTCCAGGACCCTCTGGTGGGGGCGGGGGCAAAGGAGGAGGCTTGGCTCACTTTTTTGAGCTGCCTGGACCTGGCCTGGAAAACCAGGAGTCCGCAGGTACCCCTGAAAGTGTGCCAGGCTGACGTTCTTGGGGGGGCGGGCAGGACCTCTTCACACCTGCAGGCAGAGCACCCGCTGGATTGCAAGGGGAGGGGGAGCCTTGGGGGGAGGGAGACCCCCGCTCCCAGCTGCCCTCCAGCCTCTTTGCAAGCAGCTCTTTGCGAGCTGTGCCCCCCCTCCCCCGGCCAGGAGGGCTGTGCCGGGCCCGCCTGCTCCCCGCAATGCTCAGCGCCCGCTCCTTCTGGACTTTGA